CTGCGGCAACAGCACGAGAGAGCAAAACTAAAAGGGTCGCTGCCACTTTGCTTAATAGCAGAAGGGTAGCTGGCACATCACCAACTAGTGCAATCAATAGTGCCGTAAGCGAAGTGATTGTATTGCGTATAAGTACTATTTTCGCCCTCGAAATTAGGAAACTGTTTGCGAATAAGGAGGAAATCAACGGTTTCGTGTGTAAACCCTAACGAGTGCGCAACTAATTCGAAATTTCAATAAGTCAAGTCCTTTCTTCGTTATTACTTCTGTTTACTGCATAGTGAAGTCAGAGTCGATAGTGTCCTATACCCAATGTTGTAAAAATTGGCACCACCCTTGCTCAATCCCTCGCCGCCGCTGTGACGTCAAAGTGACGTCACCGCACGCGCTCGCGTCCGCGCCGCCGGTGAGCTTTTCCATGGAGCCTGACCGGGACGAGGATTGGTTCAGCAACGGTTAGCGCAAAACTCAAAGAGCGGGCGCATTGCTAGAGAAGCAGTAGAGTGAACATCTTTTTACATGTACGTGACGCCCTACCGGTAATGGGTAATGGTAATGGCAATAGTAGCAAACTCATCTGCACCACACTCTTGTCCGTAGACAAAGTCACGCACCCATTTTTGAGCATTTATTTTGACAAAATAATACAGAGTACGTGAGTTTGGGTCCATTATCCGAATGCTACAATTTTTTCCTACCTGTCGAGCAAAAATAATTCCCGGTCATGTGACCGTTTCTATGCGCCAATAATTTCAACTACTAAGGTCGTTTACGAAGATGAAAGAGCGTGAAGCTTTGGGCTGAACAGATTTCAATCTATCACTTTAGGTGAGGTTCGTAGACGCTGGGCTGGATGTGGGAATCCACTCAATTCTATCAATATTTTCATGATCAGTCAGGGAGAATACTTTACCTAAGGTTACTGACTGTAGATACCAAGCTAATTCTCCGACTCGGTGCCACAATGTTCGTGGTGCACGACACCTTCTGTGTCACACCGTTAAAGGAGGTTCCATGATAAGAACGAAGATCGAAGAAAGGGAAGCTTACTGGTGGAGAGACAGGCGGACCTCCTAAGGATGCTGATCGACACGCAATTTGCTCGAAGGATTACCACCGACTCTAGCATGGCCTTTCCCGCGGCATTCATGGCGCACTGTCGGCACGGTGCCCCCCCCTCCCCTTCTCGCTGTCTGAGACTCTAACCGTATAGCAGGGAGAGCGTTTGCGTTGAAGAGGGCAGCACCGATGAGAGTTGTATCAGTGCGGAAATCAACGGACGAGGGAGGGGTTCCCATTTGTCGGATTTTAATTCGTCCCCCTGGTTATTTTTTTCTTTCTCTGTTCATCCTGACCATCCTAGGTTAATTCCCAATAGAGCTGTTATTTCATCGCAAAGTCTGCCTTTAGTGTTCCGATTGCAAATGCTTCACTTCCTTCATCTTGAAATTGCCAAGTGAAATTCACATTCATCTTCCTTTGTGGCCCATTAAGCATGTTTCCAAAGGCAATCTATGTGCTTTTCACCAAAATCAGGCACAATAGTCGTGCTTAGGTGCACTCTTTGTGGCGCTCCAATTTGGGTCAGATCAAGTGAAGAACAGTCCTTCTAGATTTAGAAATAACTTCATTGATTGAATTTCGATGAAGGACACTTGAGGCATGCACAACGTGATCTGCATTTTCCATTTCTTTCTGGGCAAGTAGCAGACTAACTTTCTAGTGAACGGCACAAGAATGCAACCCGTAATGAATGGTTTTCCTCTTCCTTGAGAGAATTTTAGCAGATGTGATTCAGGAGGCCACTACTGCGGCGAGGGGCGTCTGAGGTGATGTAGCGTGCATGGCGCATGCAGATAGAATAGCAGCTTAATACCGCGACGAGAATGCGAATTTTGGCCTTTCCCGGCCGCGTGTGACAGACGCCATTTCGAGAGCGCGGCTTAGGCGGGACACATGCGTCCTGCACGGTCCCACGTAGTCGGCCAAGTGCGGGGCGTATGTACCCTGCGCTGTCGTCACTGTGTTAAAAGTTTTTTTTTTCAATTGATTTCGTAGTTTCTATAATTGTTAATCTATGCTCAACATTTTCAGGAAGTGTTGAAAGAATTGCTAGAGGACCACTTTCCTCTAATAGCTGCACACTTGAATTCACTGGATATTGATTTGGCAACTATCACGTTGAACTGGTTTCTGGCTTTGTTCTTCGATGCTGTTCCATTCAATGTAAGGATATTTCTGGTCTATGTTGTTTACAAAGAGAGCTGCAATTGAAGCAATCTTCAAACAAGTACATCCCTGGCTGATAGGCTTCAGTGGTCTATACCATTTGGGTTACAGCACACTAATTCCTAGGCGACATAGCGGCTTGACGTGGTAAGCATTTTTTGCCCGCGTGGGACATGCGTCTCGATATTGGATAGAGCGTGATAAAAACCTCTTGCGCGTTTTTCACGTTTATCACGATAACATATTAATTATGAAGGCATTGTAATACTTATGGATTATGGTCCGTGCATATCATTTCCGGTTGGCGGCGTCTCACGCGCGGCTTACTCATGAGGCAGGGCGCCCGACAGCTGATCCGTCACATGGCGAGAAAGCAGAGACGCAGGCGAGCCGGTGGACGAGTCACGGCGCGCTCTACATGATGTGAGACGTATTATAGCACACATAACATTCAATTGACGCAAAAGCACTGCAGTAGGTGCTGCGACTCGTCCGCTGACCTACCTCCGTCTCTGCCTTCTCGCCGTGAGACCTGGCGTTCCTGTCGAGTAGCTGCCCATGTGGACACCAATTTGAACGACACCCTCTCGTCTTCTGCCTCCAGCAATTTATCCTCGCCGTCTAATGTCATAACTTTTGAAGGTACGTGTCGGGACGGTGATTTTTGAAAAGCTTTCTTCATTAGGGTGGGAGAAATTTCAAACAGTTTATCATTTCACAGTGGTATACCCCACTCCACTGTTGATGCATAGGGCAGGAGGAGGTAAGCAAACCAGCCCTTTTGGCACATCGGCTGGGACCGTATGCTGAATGTTGGGGAGGGGATGGGGTCCCCAACGGTCGACGGTTTACTTCAACTCGGTTGGTACGATAGGAGAGTACTGACGCAAGTGGTGCAGCTGGTCCAGTAGCTTCGCCAGAAGGACCGGTCTGCTCACCCTTGGACTAAGCCTAGGAGAGGGGACGGACCCGTCCTCTCTTTAAGGCTTAGTTCTAAGGTAAGCGCCAAATTGTGGCGGTTCTAAGGACCGAGTTGAAGTTGTCCGTCCACCGTCGGGGACTCCATCCCCTCCCCAACATTCAGCATACGGTCCCAGCCGAAGCGCCAAAAGGGCTGGTTTGCTTACGTCGGCGATGTTTATCTGTGCTCAGAATCGTTATAGGATCCAAATGTTTTGAGCAGGCTATGAGAGAGGGTCGTCTAAGGGGTCCCTTCCTCATCACGCGGAGCTAGCTCACGGTTACGTATCGCGCAATCTACTTCGTGCCACGCACAATTCGTACAGCCTCCATGGCCTCGCGAATTCACATTCTGCCCAATTTTCTGAATCGATTGCTTTTTTTTCATACATTCTCATCGAATGGGGGATTTTTGGAAAAAAAATCTGTGTCGAATCGCTCAATAGCGGCGTCATCGAAAGGAGTGGTACACTGTAGCTTGTGTCAGTTATAACAATATGAACATTCGAGTGCGAAAATGCCTGGAATTTACAAAGGCGACTCTTGAATTAATTTTGTGGACGTTTTATACTTTTACAGACTTTGTTGCGTATATGGGATTGCTTTCTTCTCGAGGGCCCGAAGGTCCTGTTTCGATTTGCTCTGGCTCTACTTGGTGAGTAATACAAATATGAAAATTGTTTTGGGAAGTAGGCGCAGCGTTTGCGGTGGGAATCTCAGGCGAGCATTCGATTAAAGGCAAAGTTCGGGCTCAGACCCACCTAAGAAGCCCTTACCATGGCTAGAAGTGCTGGGCACCCAAGTGCAAAGTTAGCGCCACCTTTCTACATCGAAACCCGTCACCAGGACCCTAGGCGCCATGAACTTCTAACAGACTCCACCAAACATAACATGGTCCGCCCACCGATCGATGTCTTGTCTGCGTCGCTGCGTTGATCTGCTATGCTCTCTCTTCTCGGAATTCTCTACCACCCTCTGCGCTCACATTATCTCTCATCTCCCTCCCTGTCTTTTGAACTTCTCCACAGCATTGAGCAAAATGCTCGTATTTCCTGTGCATGTCAGGATTTTCTTTCCCTTTTTTCTCCATTGGCGGTCCACCTCTCCCATCCCTACTTTCACATTTGAACAACCCATCAATGTAATCCTGATTCTTGCCTTTAACCGGCTTTCTGGATAGCATCGTTAGCAGCTCATTCTTAGCACAATTCTTAACGCGATCCACGCGTTTTCAATGTCCCTAAGTGTGATATTTTTGGGGAACTATTTCCTTTCATTCATATACTGCTGATTAATGCTGCAATGGATAGGGAAGGGGGGGGTGCTGAAGCAATCTGACCTGGCCTCAAAATGGTACCAAAAACGTTGATCTTCCCACATGCTTACTCTCATCTTGGTGCAACGTACTATCACGTGCTTCGGCTCTGGATTTCGATTTCGGTTTACAATTTCCTTCATTCTTTCTCATTTACAAGGTGGAGCAAAGCTACTGGTGCCTCTATATTGTGATTTTTTTGGTGTGGTTTGGCCTTCAGCTCTGCGTTGCCAGAATCAGTGCAACCATCGACCTCTCAGCCTACAATTTTATTTTCTCACTTCCAATACGGCCTACTCAATTTCATGATCAATTTAAGCATGTTTGAGGGCTGAATCAGGTGAGAGATTCTTGCACGAGGAGACACCATTGGAATAATGAAAGTGATCAAAGCTGCAGTACGACTTACATACGACGTGGATGGATTTTTCAAGGTCTGTCATTCTCATGGCTCAATCTTTTGGTTTTGTTCTCCTTTTTCTAAGCCCAGACCTCACTATATGAGTGAATAACGGGCTATTCATTTTCTGAAAATGAGCAAAAGTCAGTGTAGAATGGACAAGATGCAGCATTCCTTGCCTGGTAGCTCCGGCGTCAAGTGGCAGAAATTACTACGGAAAACAGATTCATTTTCTGGTTTTAAGCTGTTTCCTTGGGTTTTTCCTTTACTGCTGGCATTTTCCGTCAGCAACTGCTACAGGATGACCAAAATTATGTTGCCCGCATGCGGCGCCATATCAGTTTTTTGAGTCAATTTTCATCTTTTTTTCCTGTGCACTTTGTGATAGGGTAAGATGTGTGCTTCCTGTAGAAGCAAATATAATGCAGTTCTCAAATTAGTGAAACAACACAACACGGCATGCCAATCTTAAAATTGAACCGACAGGGGATTCTGGCAAGCTACATCTGGTGGCAGTTTATCACAATAGAGAAGTCATATGTGCAACCAAATGCTTTAAAATTTTGAAACCAGCAGTGATGAAAAAGGCGGGGAGGCGAAGGTTACAGTTACCACAACGTCAAGCATCATATGTACAGGAGCTTGTTCCCTTATTTACGATTTACATACCCTCAAAATGAGAAATTTGATATAAAAACACTGTGGAACACTTTAACCCATTCGTGACAATGGCAGCCACCGGTGGCTGACAAAGATCTCACTCGGGACAATGGTATCCACCGGTGGCTGCCGTGTTTCAAATGGAATTTGGAAAGTTTTCTTTCCTGAAAAGAATCTTCATACCCTCATTCATCTACGCCAGCCCTGGGCAGGGGAAATCTCCATCCACTCAAATTTTATTGAAGAAAAATCTCCTGACTCTCCTGCTATTGCGCAATCCGCGCGGTCGCGAATGGGTTAAAACTCAACGTGTGTCGTGGACCAAAGGCCGCCCAAGTACTCTGCTCTGGACTTCTCAACAGGACAAGGAACTTAGCAATAAAGCAAAGTTCTGCAACTAGAAGTTTCTCGAGTTCATAATTTAGGGGAATTCTTACCTAGCTCGTATTGATTTTCTGTATGGCGAACTGTGAAAACCTCAAACATTTTCGATCCTATGAAGAAGGGGAAGCAGAAAGTAGGCACACTCACTGTTCCATACCAGAGCGTAGTAGACAGGCGGACAAGCGTTGATGTCGCGCCCCTTTTGCGGCTTGAAAGTGCGCGACAAAGGCGCTGGAAGCTCGTCCAACCCGCAATCCACACCTTCGTCCGCAAGCCCCGCCTTCCGCTGTCGGTTGCCACGTGACGCTGCTTGAAAAGCGCGGGCGCAGTGGAGCTATGGCTCGTGGAGCTTGTCCAACGCCCCTTCTCAATCCCAAAATGGGATGCGGCTGGATAAAGGGAGCCCCTAGAGGCGTAAGTGGGGGTTCTCTTGTTCTCGTCTTCTTTTCCAGACCACTCCCCACATTTAGCGTCATCAGTAAAGCTCTTCCTCACCTA